CAGCTCCCGCGTCTCACACACACGAGCGCGACTTTAGCACTAGATTTAGCAACTTTCAGACCCTTTTAGCGGCTTTTTTCCATCGAATATTCATACTGACAAACCTAGCGACTTTTTTGGATAAACTTTTAGCTATGGTTCAGTTGGAAGATTTCTCCAGTGCTGTCCCGCAGACGCGAGGTCTGACTTTCCCGCAGAAGTGTCGCCTCTCTCGGCGTCTGTTCTGTGCAGTGAGCGGCAGAGAAGCAGCGCATTCAGTTGGCCGCACCGCAGCCAACTCGTCAATAAATGAGTACAAAACAGCGTTTCCTAGCATCTGTCGCTTAACTGATTGTTTTGAATTATAAATATGAGCATAGTTCGTCTATTAATATCACATGCACTTTTTTGTTTGTTGTTTTTTTTAGTTTGTTACTCAGACGCAGGCAGTGCGCTGCATGAGACAAAAAAGTAATATAGCCAAAACAACCGCATAGCCGCTCTTTAGTGTAGATGCATGTTGATTTTATCAGACGATGCCGCAATTATAAATGAGTGACTCCTGGTTAACATGTATTAAAAGGGGTCGTGTTTAGTCACTATTTAGTGTGGTATTTTTTGACAATATTCACTCATCATGACAGTAAAATAGGGCATTCTAAGTCAATATACTGCAATATTTCCTCTCTCAATCAGTACAAAATATGGTTAACACCCAGTCATGCATGAAAAAAAAATACCATCATGTACCATGAAACCGGTATAATTTTGAAAAATACCGTGATATACATTTTTGGTCATACCGCCCAGCACTAATTTAGACAACAAACTCGCATTCACAACTGAGGTCAAACATGATTCTTTTACATCGGAGCAGAAGGTTCACAATCAGAATCAGTGTGATATGTACAGTAACTAAACATTTAGACTCACTCTTCATATTTGACGTGGTAAATGATCTCCTCTTCCCCATCTGTGCCTCCGTCTTCATCCGAACACTTTGTCGTTTTTGTCACATTGATGATCTGCGCCTCGAACCAGGCACCCATGTTTAAGTCTCGAGCGTCCACGAACTCATTTACCTGAAAAAACGTTTACAAATTACATTTACTATCTGATAGGCAGCAAGACGTTTGTAGTGGAATCGATATGATGCAAATCGAATGCAACAATCTGCAAAAAAAATTAAGTTTGAGCAATTAAGTCATTATGTAAGTTGTCGCATTTGCTTTTTTTGTTAAGTGAATGAAACAACTTGTGTAAAAAGTGACTTCACAAACATTAAACATTAGTTTGGATACATTAGAATGGTTTTACAAATGCTTTACGACTGATTTACACAAATATGACGATTTAGAAATTATTTTAGAGCCTAGTGTAACAAAAAACACTATTTAAATATCTTTAAAATATTTCAATACAGAAAAATTGCTCTCGTTTCTTTTTTGTAAATCACTTTGGATAAAAGCATCTGCTAAATGTACTGTATAATTGTAAATATAACAAACAAAACTTAACTGTAAAAACTACAATATTAAAATGATTTGTTCATTTTACAAAGTGTTTGTTACGCTTTGTTGATATACGTATAAATATCTAATATATTTAGATATTACAAACAAAACATTCACTATTACAAAAAAAAAGTGTTCATTACACCATTAAAATCATTACGTTTGTAGATCATTTAGAAATGCAAGACGAACTTAGCAAGCAAAACGTCGAAACGAAACGGCCAACAAGATGTTTATAGTGAAATCAACACAATTTATAATATGCTCACTGAATGCAATAATTTGCGCAAGAATAGTTTCATGTGCAATTAACGCGACAACTTATGTACAAAGTGATTTTACAAACATTAGTTCTTGCAAAAAAAACTAACAAAAAAAAAACAGTTTTACAAAATGCTTAACCAATTTACACAAATTTACCAATAGAGAAAAGAGCTAGTGTAACAAAAAAATATATATAATTATTTAAATATCTTTTATATATATATATATATATATTCCAAACAAAACATTTTAACAGTATTATACAAAAATTATAAAGCTAATTGAAATGAACTTGTTTATTATATAATTGAAATCACTTGAGGCCAACGAGATGTTTATAGTGGAATCGACACAATTTTTAACTCAATTTGTCTATCAGACGTGACACGGTTTCTAATAAATCAATGGTTTTGTCACCTTGTAAAAGCCAAAGCCAGGGTCGATGAGGTCCGGCGTGTCGGTCTGGCCCGAGGTCCCGGCGCTCTGGCCGTCGCTCTCGCCGTGCGTGGAGCTCTTATCCGACTCGCTCTGGGCCGATCCGCAGCCGGAGTCCGAGTCGGACAGCTCGGCCTCTTTGTCCTTCGGCAGCGGCGCCTGACGCACCAGAAGCTGCACGATGTCGTTTAACCCGACGTTATAGTCGAAGAGTGTGTGACTGTCTTCCATCTAATCAAGGCCAAAGACAACTTTATAACAACAACACACAAAATAATGGTTCATTTTTTATCACCTCACCAATTTAAAGGGTTAGTTCACCCCAAAATGAAAATTCTATGATTAATTACTCACCCTCATGTCGTTCCAAACCTTAGTAAGGACATCAGTAAAACAGTCCGTGTGATATCAGTGGCTCAACTTCAATTTTGCGAAGCTATGAGAATACTTTGAGCGCAAAGAAAACACAAATAACAATTTAACAATTCTTCTCCCCCGAGTTACGTCTTCTGCCATTTTAGAGAGTATCACAACACATACGCACGCTTTCCCCTAAGCATAAACAATGCTGATTAGCAGATTACATTCATGCGCGCACTTACTCCCCCGAACATAAACAACGCTGATTACACTCTTGGGCACTCTCCAAAATGGCAGAAGACGTAACTCGGGGGAGAAGAATTGTTAAATTGTTATTTGTGTTTTCTTTGCGCTCAAAGTATTCTCATAGCTTCGCAAAATTGAAGTTGAGCCACTGATATCACACGGACTGTTTTACTGATGTCCTTACTACGTTTCTGGACCAAAATTCTATCATTAATTACTCACCCTCATGTCGTTCCAAACCCGTAAGACCTTCGTTCATCTTCGGGACACAAATTAAGATATTTCTGATGAAATGTGAGCGCTCTCAGACCCTGCATAGACAGCAACACTACTGAAACGTTCCCAGGTCCAGAAACGTAGTAAGGACATCAGTAAAACAGTCCGTGTGATATCAGTGGCTCAACTTCAATTTTGCGAAGCTATGAGAATACTTTGAGCGCAAAGAAAACACAAATAACAATTTAACAATTCTTCTCCCCCGAGTTACGTCTTCTGCCATTTTAGAGAGTATCACAACACATACGCACGCTTTCCCCTAAGCGTAAACAACGCTGATTATGCAGATTACGGTCATGCGCGCGATTTCTCCCCCGAACGTAAACAACCCTGATTACGTCGATTACGCTCTTGGGTACTCGACAAAATGGCGGAAGACGTAACTCAGGGGAGAAGAATTGTTAAATAAATTGTTATTTTTGTTTTCTTCGCGCTCAAAAAGTATTCTCGTAGCTTCGCAAAACTGAAGTTGAGCCACTGATGTCACACGGACTGTTTTACCTTGTTCTTACTACGTTTCTGGACCTGGGAACATTTCAGTTGCGTTGCTGTCTATGCAGGGTCTGAGAGCGCTCACATTTCATCAGAAATATCTTAATTTGTGTTCTGAAGATGAAAGAAGGTCTTACGGGTTTGGAACGACATGAGGGTGAGTAATTAATGACAGAATTTTCATTTTGGGGTGAACTAGCCCTTTAAGCCAGATAAACCCAATCCCTGCCCACATTAGAGAAGTAAAATGGATTTTGAATGCCTCACGTCACCTGTTTGCCCCTGTAAAAGAGTCGCTGCCTCTGGGGTTCGACGTTGAAGAGCTCTGCGATCTTCACGCGCAGCTCGTCCACCTTGGTGAGCTTGGACAAGGAGTCGACCCGATGGGTCTCCTTGCCATCCATAGTGCGCACCTGGATCCACATGTCGGCAAACCTGCAACGAGCGACGTCAGCGAGTGAGATTGTTTCCCGCCTTGCTTTTTATAGTTCAGACAATGGCTTCGAGCCAAGACCTTCAAACGAGCAGGAAAAAGGTGTTCATTTCACAGTGACGTGAGCGACACGGGCAGCTTTTTCCTCATTCATCTCCTCCGGCACTTTTAGGGTTGATACTCTGAGAAGCTGCTTTAAAGCAATCTGTTTCTTTACAACTTTATGTAGAGTTGTGTTACCTTTACAAAAAAAATCACGCATTAGCATGATATAGTGATGCTAACGAATGGTAAAACCTAAGGTACTTTCCTTTCTAAGCATTTCAACACCATTTGACCAATATTTTCCATTAGTTTTCCAATTTACAGGTTTTCCATGAATGTCCGAACGTGGAGTATGTATATGAGACTAAATGATTACAATATTTATATACAATGGTATTACAAACATACGCCAAAGAACACTAATGTAAAGCATGGCTTTACCAAGGTATATGCCTAAAAAAAAAATTTGGTTTTACCATGGTACGTGCCCAAAAAACACAGCTTTATTATGGTATATGCCCAAAAAACATGGTATTACCAAAGTACATGCCAAAAAACATGGTATTACCGAAGTACATGCCAAAAAACATGGTATTACCATGGCGCATGCCCAAAAAACATGGCTTTAGCATGGCACGTGCCCAAAAAACATGGTATTACCATGGTGCATGCCCAAAAAACATGGTATTATCAAGGTATGTGCCCAAAAAACATGGTATTACCATGGTGCATGCCCAAAAAACATGGTATTATCAAGGTATGTGCCCAAAAAACATGGTATTACCATGGTGCATGCCCAAAAAACATGGTTTTACCAAGGTATGTGCCCAAAAACATGGTATTACCAAGATATGTGCCCAAAACACATAGTATTACCAAGGTATGTGCCCAAAAACATGGTATTACCAAGGTATGTGCCCAAAAACATGGTATTACCAAGGTATACAAACCATGGTATCACCATGCTACATGTCAAGATTCAATTTCAACTTGGCGTGAGAACTTATTCGCCATACCTACGGGTGAAGTAGTGTATAATAGCGTTAAAAAAAAAAACCTTGTTGACATCTCAGCTCTCCAAACCACGCCTGTTATTGGCGGAAATAGACGGAAACGCCCCCTAACGGCACTCAATGGCACTGCAGTGGGTGCAAAAACATGGTATTACCAAGATATGTGCCCAAAACACATAGTATTACCAAGGTATGTGCCCAAAAACATGGTATTACCAAGGTATGTGCCCAAAAAACATGCCATTACCAATGGTACAAACCATGGTATCACCATGCTACATGTCAAGATTCAATTTCAACTTGGCGTGAGAACTTATTCGCCATACCTACGGGTGAAGTAGTGTATAATAGCGTTAAAAAAAAAAACCTTGTTGACATCTCAGCTCTCCAAACCACGCCTGTTATTGGCGGAAATAGACGGAAACGCCCCCTAACGGCACTCAATGGCACTGCAGTGGGTGCAATAACATCCGTCTTTATGTTGTCGACTTTAAACCAACAACAGGAAGCTGGAATGAGACTTGAACTTCAGATATGAGTCTATTTGAGGTTTATTTGTAGAAATCAGTCAGTTCAAACGGGAATGAACGCAAATCGCGTTGATTTAATTAAGGGGTTGTGTGCTGGTCATGATGTGGGTGGTCTTGAATCAAAAACAGACACTTAAATGACAAATATAAACTAGGACCAATTGAAAATGAGTGGAATTACAAAATATTTATCATTTTAATTACATAATGAGTTTATGTAAAACAAACCCATCCAGAATTCCTACATTACTCAAGTTACACCTTCACACACACTTTCCTGTCCGTTATTGTCATGTTTTGAACTGTTGTGCACAAATACGCGTATTTATTTCAGACTTAAAGACATTAATAACAAATGTAATTGCAAAAAAAATCGCATTAACCTCACAATTAGACTTAATTTCAGGGTATTTGGCCAATATAAAATAAATTCAAAGACAAAGTCAAAGACAGAAAAGTGTGAAAAGCGCTAAATATTATATAAATATTAACATGCACACATTAAACATGCGAGTTTATTCATATTTAGATAGTAAAATAAGGCGCGTCCGCACGGTTTCATAGACAATACCTTTAAATAAAAACCGAAACTAGTTTTAAAAACACAAAGACAGAAAAGTGTGAAAAGCGCTAAATATTATATAAATATTAACATGCACACATTAAACATGCGAGTTTATTCATATTTGGATAGTAAAATAAGGCGCGTCCGCACGGTTTCATAGACAATACCTTTAAATAAAAACCGAAACTAGTTTTAAAAACGGATCTTTACCTGTAGTCTTCCTCTTGGGAATAGAAGACGTGATTTTAATTCAATAAACGCGCTAAAAGTGTGAAAACGTTGCACTTTTGTTACAGTTCAACCCCGTCGCGAAAAGCAATGAAATTGGGGCTCGAATCAATAAAAGTGTTCAACCACCGCAGGCACGGCAGGCCGCTGATTGGCGGAGCGGAGTTCCGAGCCGCTCGCTGATTGGTCGGGCCGCGCGTCACTTACGCACGTTGCCGGAGCTTAGGCTCAGCGCGCGAAACCCTGCTCTCGTTGTCGCACATGCTCGGCTCTGCTGTAATCTCGCGAAATTTGGCGGTATATTACATAATAAAAGCACACGTTAAAAGAATCTCTTATTTTTAATTAATATATAATTAGCATGTGTTTACTAAATTTAAGCAAAATAAAATATTTCAGTATATACTGAACGTCAAGTGATTAATACGTAAACGATTAATTTATTTAATTAATTAGATAAACGTTGCTCTTAATGTTGAATCTTAATGTTAACTATTTTTAATAATTTTTAAAAAACTATGTTTCAGATATGGATATTAAAATCACACGTGAAAAAGTCACGGTTATTTTCTATTATTAATTTATTATTTACTTAGCAAAATATGAAGTAATTGCAGGAGCATATGGGATATAAACAGTATAAAATAATTTAAATGAAAAACACAATGAGTCATATTTATTTTAAAACTAACGTAAAGGAAAGACAGTTTTATTAAAGACATGTACTATTGTTAAATTGTCTGAGTGGTTGGAAACAAAAACTGTAATGCCTGCCTTTGACTATCACATTGTTAAATTTGGTGTCTTTATGCAAAACAAAGAGATTGAATTTCAGTGCAATAATATGTTGATTGTAGCCAAGTTTTATATACATAAATGTAGATTTGTTTAAGTTTCTCCTTGTTTTGAGGAATTTAAAAATTATTTTAGAATTTTGTTTCAATCAATAAAACGAAGAGTGCCTTAAAACTCTAAACTTCTGGCAACATACTTGGATTATAATTTGTTTATAATTTGCTTTACATGTTTTGGTATTATTTTAACTTTTATTTTATTTTATTAACTTGTGTTTATGATATGCTGCTTGGATATATTGTTAATGTGGTTACCAATGGAATGATGATAATGCCTGCGTGTCTGACTGTTATTTGAAGGTTTAATAAAGTGATTAAACAAAAAAAAGAATAAATAAATAAATAAAAACTTTTCCCAGTCAATTTTAGTGCCATCTTCTGGTCACCTTAAGTCCTACAGAAGTCCTACAGAAGTCCACAGAGTTTCACTTCTTCCGCATTACAAGAGAAAGCAAAAAGACAAACATTCAGTCTTGGGAACATTTAGGTGTCACTTAATACTTGAGATACAAAACAAATGGTATCTAAATCAGTCTTTATGTCTGACAGTCCGTCCATTTTGCGCCGTTTATTCTGTGAAGGTCTCAAAGTCTGTTTCTGTTTCCCAGTTCCTGCTTCTGGATGAATGCAGAACTATCACAAAGGTAAGACCCACGTTTTTTGTGCTTCTGTGTAATGTTTATAAAATACATATGAATGATGTCGTATTTATTTATACATTATGTGGTCAAAGTCACGTCTGACAGTCATTTCAGACTTCGCTCTTTGAAGAAAACAGTCGATGAGTCATTAAACACATCAATATTACATTTTATTATTCATACACCATTCATGATCTAGTCCACGAACCCCGCTAACAGGGAACGTTTTAAGAACGTAGGCTGTAACGTTCTGGTAAGGTTCTCTCGAAGTTACGAACAAAAGTGCTGCTAGTAACGTTAATATAGAACGCTCGATCAAAGTGCTGCTAATAATGTTCTCAAAACGTTCGCACAAAAACAAAGCAGAATATTTTCTAAAACATTTTAGTTGGATATTCCTCTGATATTTTTAAATGTTACTACTTGCTTCAAAGAACGTTCAAAAGTAACGTTTCCGTAATGTTCGCAAAATTCTAAAACTGAATGTTCCCTTAACGTTTGCATAAAACGTTTTTAAAACATTTTTAAAAAACAACGTTTTGAACGTGCATAAAAGTAACATTTCCATTTTTTACAAAATGATAAAACTGTTCCCGTTCACATAACCAGGATTTTTTTTTTAAAGCATTTAAAATTTTTTATATTTTGAACGTTTAGCGAACATCCAGTAGTAACGTTTCCATAATGTTTGCAAGATGATCATATGTAATGTTTCTTTAACGTTTGTATAACCAGGAAAAAAAAAAAGTTTTTACAACTTTTTTAAAAACTGGACGTTTTGAAAGTTCCGAGAACATTCAGAAATAATGTATTATTAACTTAATGGGAACGTTAGCATGAGAACATATGAAGAGTTAATTTGCAAAAACCGATAAACGCCGTGTTTAAAAAAAAAAATGAACTGACTGCCGTGCGTTATTCTCCACATATAGCACGTTCTGAACCCTAAACACATTTTGTCCCATGTCTAGGCATCGCAAGTTCACGTTTTACCGTAGAAATTGACAAGCACCCTTGTTGTTTGTAAACACAACTAGATAAGTCTAAAATAAGTTTAGCGAATCGGCACGCAGTATTCAGGTCAGGTGACAAGGTTGCTAGCCACTTCGTAAAGACGCGCTCGCTGAGAGGAGTTCCGTCTAAAGGAGTTTTGTCAAAGCTGACTCAAACGAGGATGGATCATTTCAACGAACTTGATGAACCTGTGATATCTTCTTCACGGCGTAAAAGGAAAATAAAAGTAAATAAAAGAGTTATCTGTTTTTGCAAATGAACTCTTCATATTTTTGTTAGCTGGGGAAATATTGTAATCGTCTCATAACTTTCACTTTTTCTTTCAGCATTCAGAAGCTCAAGCGCATCTAAGTGACTTCAGATTGAATGGAATGGCTTGAACATGTCATATGAGAGCACATATTCACGTATGATCATCCGTACTTGCGTAAACAATGGCAGACGGTGGAGTAGAGCTTATGGATCAAGGATTTGCGAATCTTGCCAAGGCATTTGAGATCCTTTCCCAGGCTGGGCAGGAACGATGGGTCAGCCTGACGTTAAAAATGGACCGCAGGCGGGCGGAGGAATTGGTGAATGCCATGTGCTTGATTCTCCTGAAGAGGATTGGAGAGGCGCACGCTAAGCTAACGGCTAACAGCGACAGCAGCATTGGAAAATACTTGGCCGAAATGGTCAAAATGCACGGAGAACGTGTCAACAGTAGCCACATTGGCGGTTTTAAGTCAACAGATATCAATACGTTATTGGATATCGCCAGAGTTTTCGCCGTTTTGGTGCAGGAGAGATTGTGCGACAAATCGCTACGAGATCAAGCATACCGCGAGGCTCTTGCGTCGAGCAGAATGGCTGGTTTGCTATCTTTAGACGTCGAGGAGGAAGTAAAGCAAGTCTGCGGGCCTGACATTATCAATGAATCCAACACTGAACGTCCTACTGAAACGTACAATTTGACGTCTCTAGAGCGAAACGAAAGCCCTCCATCATCTCAGCAATCAAGTTCGCGCTATAGTCTCGAAATTAGCTTGGCAACAGCTACAGAATCCAATATGGAACAATCAAAGCCGATGAGTCTACGAACGCCAACAGATAGCGAAACTACAACCAGTCAAGACCAACTACGACATCGTCTTAATAAATCAGCTAATATTTGCGCAAAGAACCAGCTACCGACAGCGGACGTCAATGGCTCGACAAAGTCGAAGCAGTGTCTAGACCACAACGGAAGCTCCCAACTTGTGACATCCAAAAACACGAATCTCGATTTTTCGTCCACCCCAAACGATGGCGACAAACTTCGAGCTCAGCCACTAAACGCTACAGATCACAAACCGACAACTCAACCTGACAGTTTTCGCTCTCCCGAACCGAGCCAAAGCGACGTCGAAGAAACTTTTTACGACTTTGTGATCCTACACGAAGCCGAAGACGCAGACGAGGCGCAAAGACTCAGGGACAAACTTGAGAGTATCATCCGTGGAGTCGGCGCGACATTTTCCGATGAATTCGCGCAACCTGGAAAGTCGACGTTGCGATGTATGGAGGACGCCATCGAGAATTCGGCATTCACGCTGTTGCTGCTCACCCAGAACTTCAACTCCAACCTCAGCGTGACCAGCGCCGATTCGGCGATCGTGAATTCGCTGGAAAACCACCACAAAATGAACTCTGTAATTCCGCTACTACCTCGCAAGAACTGTTTGTCGCGCAAAAGTTTTCCGTTGGTGCTTCAGACGAAGGTTCCTCTCGATGAAAGCAGCAGAATGTTCGAACGCAATGCCCAAAAGGCCATCGCACGGGAAAAAGTGGCAATCCAAAAGACGGTTTGGATGACCAAACAGCGTCGTAAGAAACTAGTCGAGGAACAGAAGAGACTACAAGAGGAGAACGCCATAAAAGCGGAGCTACGACGAGAGGAGGAAAAATTAGCGCGGCTGAGACTAGAAAGCGAAATTCAGCAAAATAACATGTTTTGTGTTGCATCTGCACCAATGCATCCACCTCCGGCACATGGGCCGATGCATTCGCAACATGGCGCATTGCAGCAGCAGCAACCATCGTGCATCCACATCGAGAACGCGCAGAACGTTATGATCGGAAATCACTCAACGATGAATATTGACCATGCTAAAAACTCGGCCGATGAGTTTGATTTTTAAACCTGGTGTTTAAAGTGTTTTTTCACTAAAATAGGTGTTGTGAGAAATCACGTGTGTTTCTGAGAAAGTACTGTTGTTTTAGCAAATCAGGTTTGCTGACATCTGGTTGGCTGATGAGTTTTTGGGGGCGGGGTTTGGAGAATGCCTGATGGTCAACTACATCTACCAAAAAGTACAAGAAAAAGTGTTTCGTATCATTGTATTAATTTCAACATTAGGGCTGTCGGTATGTTTTATGGTGGTTTATGGGTCTTTTTTTTTTTTTTTTTTTTTGTCTAAGCTTCATTTCCATGTTCGACATAATTCATATGGTTATTACAATTAATTTTTGCTTTAAAGATCATAAAGTTGATAAAGAAAGAAAAATGTCAACTGAGAGCAAAACAGTGTTACTGTGAGGTAAAAGGTTGTTTTAGTAAAATAAATAAAATCATATGACAGCAA